TCCTTCAGAATCTGACAAGGAGCAAGGTAAGGGAGGGTCTCGCCTGTAACAAATGAAAGGGAACTGCTAATAGCCCCGGAGTTGCATCTTTTGGAGAAATGTATCTCCGCTGGTGATTACAGCAGACCAACAACAGAACAAGAACAGCCAGAGAGACCACTGGCAGATCAGTCCTGGAGGGAGGAGGGGAAGGGACAGCCAAGTGCCTGTCTTCCAACGTTCACACTGGAAACCAGTTGGAAGTGCAGGAGCGAAGGGGCCTCCTCTGAGCCAGGGGCCACATTCTTTCCCGGTCATTTCTAGTCACTTTACACCCTCACTAATGATTCGCAGATCCTCTCAGGGGGCAAAGAGTGCAAAATACCACAAAATGAGAAGTTATTCTTGCTTCAATTGCCTCTTAATTCTTAACATTTTAATAACAAAAATAACTTTTTCTTGTTCACTATCAAATGTCAGCCTCCTATATACCCAATGCCTTGCTTTCCTTTATAAATATTATTTCAGGTCATTCCTCTCATGACATATATAGCTACTTTGTTCTGGTTTTAAAAAATGTTTTTTATTGATTTCTAGAGGGAGAGGAAGGAAGAGGGAGGCAGAGAAACATCGATGTGAGAATGCAACATCAATCACTGCCTCATGCACGGCCCCTCCAGGCATGTGCCTGGTGGAATAGAACCAGCAACCTTTCAGTGCACAGGATGATGCCCAACCAACTGAGCCACACCGGCCAGGGCTACCTTGTTCTTTTTTGTTTAAATGACCACATAGCTCATTGACTGAAGATGACGAAATTCATTGCAGTCCTCTACTGATGGCGTGACTCTCACAAACCAGGGCCTGTGCTGTGGCCTGGGGGCCTCGCATGAGGAAGACTTCACTCTAGCAGAGATGTTAAGGAGAAAGAGTGCGTGGGTTCCAAGGGCAGGAGTGGGAGGCTCACTGGGTAAAGCCACAGTGGAAATTAATGAAGAGTTTTTACTTGTGTAGATGCTCTAAGAATAAAAGCATTAGAAGAAATCCACAAAAAGAAAAGAGGAAGGAAGAGATGGATTAATGAGACAATATGCAATCAAAGGCAGTAGAACAGAAGTCGACAGAGTGCAACTCACAACAGACTACAAATTCCTTCATTTTCTAAAGAAATTACTTGAGACAAAGAAAAATTGGAGGGCTCAGTAGATGCCAGGCACTGTGCTGATCTTATTGAACCTATGACTGCCTACAACTGAGGTATTATTGCCTCTCTCCCCACACTATGCTCACTTCTACCCACTTCACATATAAGGATACTAAGTCTTACTCATAGGTACAGAGAACAAACTTACAGGTGCCAGAGTGGGGCAGGAGGTTGGGGGAGGGTAAAAGAGGTGACAGATTAAGAAAGGTATTATTGCCTCTCTCCCCACACTATGCTCACCTCTACCCACTTCACATATAAGGATACTGAGTCTTACTCATAGGTACAGAGAACTGATGGGTGCCAGAGCATTGCAAGAGGTTGGGGGATGGGTAAAAAGAGGTGACGGATTAAGAAGGACAAATTGGTAGTTACAGAACAGCCACAGAGAGGTAAGGTCCAGCCTAGGGAATATAGTCAATAACATTGTAATAACTGTGTATGGTGCCAGCGGGACTGGACTTATTGGGGGATGACTTAGTAAATTAGACATATGTGTAACCACTCTGCTGCACACCTGAAACTAATATAAAATAATACTAATTATCAACTATAATTGAAAAAAAAATA